TTATTTTAGATGGTTCAATGAATGTGGATGAATTTTAAAGGTTTCCTAAAGTAACTCTTGGTGATTTTGAGAGCTCTATTTAAAGAGACTTCTTGAGCTTCAAAGGAGAGTTTTTTAGAGAAATAAGGGGAGCCTTCTTAGAGAGAAGAATGTCATGGAGGCTTGCTTAGATTTGGAAGAGAAGACGAGAAGTGAGAGATATCTTCTTCACTACAGTTCTAAGTGAGATTGGAGTGGAATTGTATGGTTGAATTTTGTAACTCCTATCAGCCTCAGAAGAATTGATAGACATAAGTGACAAAGTGTATGGTTGAACAATATATATGATGATTCGTCAAGGAAAAATATTTGCGATGGTAACTTTTTTGCCATTGGTTGAATTATCTTATAATACATATTTATAATTTTCATCAAAGTATACTTCATTTCAAATATTCTATGAATGCTCAACAACCACATTTGTTTTCAACGACAGTTGTACTTTTGTAGAAGCTATAAAAATAACATTACAAAACTGTAATAAAATTCTTTACTAGTTTAGTCCCAATCTCTATGCCACACAATCATATAAGATAACCCGTTGGTAAGAAAAGACGGTAAATTTTCAAGAGATCATGTCTTGGTTCATTTACAAAATCACTATTATCTAGGAACATTACACCAAATTTACTAAGCATTACTTTAAACATTTCGTGGTGCACTGTTCTTTATAAATTATATTTGTCATTGATCGTATGTATTCATCCATCCTTTCATGTTTCATTATTGAAGCCTTATTATAAAAACATTTTATTTCCTAAATTCTTATCTACAGATGCATTTGAGTGACACCCGATCAGCAATCACGCAACAATGCTACATATTACTCAAAAGAAAAAAAAAACAACTCCTACAATTATTGGTTCAATGGGAAAGACAACAATCTGAAGACGCCTCTTGGGTTTTGTACTCAAAATTTGTACATGCCTACCCAACTTATGAGCTTGAGGACAAGGTCAATTACAAATGATGAAGAAATGATATGAGCCCACCAGAAGACATCACTTCTGAGGGGCGGAGTCCAGAAATTTTTTTAAGTGGGGGAATAAATTAATGGTTTGAGAAATATTTTTAATTATTTATTAATCTAGGTTAGGGACTTGGTGGTTTTGAAAATTTCATAAAACAAAATAGTGGCCGAAGCTAGTATTCAGCAGAAAGGTTCCAAAAACTTTAAATGCCCCCATTAATCTAGGTTTGGGATTTGGCGCTTTTATTAGCCATGATAATCAAATTTGTATTCAATCATACCCAAGAAAAATATTCTATAAGAAGTCAATTAATGCTGAAAAATTTCTCTATATGGCTTAAACAAAGATTACATAGAACAAGTAAATTTCATCAACTTGTATGATGAAAAAGGCTATGAGACATCTTGCCCCAATACAAGGCAGTAGAGAAAGAGCATAAGAAAAAATAGATTATTGAAACATACAAGATATTGATTTCTTTTTCATTTTTATTTTTCTTTGTGAAAATGGATAACATAAATATCCGTGGACCAGACAATAAGAACTAACAATACAAATGTAATAACATATTATTATGAATCCAAAAAAATGATCCTCTAGACCCTTGGGAGGACTCACTCAATTATAAAGCATGTGGTAACTGTATAAAATAATAAATTCAGGAATAAAAAAATAAATTTATGAGTAAGATGCATGCATTATAAATCTAGCTATATGACTCAAAGAAGCATCAAGCATGAAAAAACAATGGCCACTGAAAGCGGAGAAAAATTTGCGTACGTAAGACGTATGCAGCGCTGCGTATGTCGGGGAGGTTATTCAGATGGTATTGGGGGGTTATATCCGCGTTATACCCCCTGTAACTTACAAATATATGAAAACAGATGAGTGGAACTTACTAGAAGGTACAAGTATGTTATAGAGAGGTTATAGGGGGTATAACGCGGATATAACCCCCAAATACCCTCTGAATAACCTCCTTGACGTACGCAGTGCTGCGCACGTCTTCCGTACGCAAATTTTTCTCCTGAAAGAGGTAGACAACTATTAATTCAGTTGCTTATGAAAACAAGTGTGAAAAAAACTACGTTAATCGGCTGTCTTATGTAGACCCTGATTGGTGCTGCACAAAGTCAGGAACAACTCAGAGGAGCTGCTTCATTCGTCTTACGTCTGTGTTAGTGAAGGCCCAACCTACGTGTCTTTGTACAAAGCTCCTATTAATTTTAATGGATAGATCTTCTTCCAAGGGTTAAGCCACTACACTACTCTGTCAGATGGCATGCTGCTAGAAGGGGGTGCTCGGTAGCTGGACTAATTTAAGGTGTTATTTAAAAAAAAAAGGAATATAAAGTTATTTCAGTGTGTTGGGCCAGCCCTAGTGCCTCCAGTGTAGGATTGCTCTTAGTTGCTATATCTATTCGACAAAAACCTAACCTTACACATGAAAGACTAGGATGGCGCTAGAACTTTATTGTAATCTGTGTTTTTGTTGGCTTTAATTTTACCTTTTACTTGATAATCTTGGGTTATCATTAGGCTTGGTTTGCTTTTAGTTTATTAAGCTCTTGGGCCTATAAATCGGCCATTTGGGTTGTATTGAAGAAAAGAAATTTTAATAAGAAACCTCCCTAAGCTGTTGGTTTTTTCACGCTGGTAACGAGAACTAGCACTATGGTTCAATTGCAATTTTGTGTGGATAAGGATTACCATATTCAACTGAGCAGTCATTTACTCTAGATGGAGCTTGTTGTTCTGCTTTTGTCAGATTTTGTGTAATTCCTCAGGTCTTTGTCCTGGGCATAACAACCAAATTTCTCTATTTTATTAGTTTTTTTTATTATTATCATGTTTTGTTTTGTTTTTTTGGGTACTGAGTTTTTATCTCTCACGGGAGCAATTTTTCCTCTCTTTTTGTTGGAGCTGCTCCTTTTTTGAATTCTTTTTTGCCTACTTTAGATGTGATTTAGTTTGCTCTTATTCCAAAAATAGGCAATGCAGGATGCTCCTAATTGATTTTCTTTGTTGTTTCCTCTAACCTAAACAAATATCCTCATGAAGACGCAGGGGAGATACAAATGTCATTTATTGTTAGACGATCGGGAAGTACTATTAGTTCCGCAGTAGTCATGGATTTTGTTGGAAAGCAGGTATCTGTAAATTTCTTACACGAACACGCACACACACACACACACACCCACACGCACACCCACACGCACAACCACTCCCACTCCCTTATCTTAATATGTATTATTTTATCAAAACAGATTGCTTATAGGCGCTTGAAGTTTGAACATCCTATTTATAACTCCACAAGCTTCCAATTTCAAGAGAGTAGTTCTTAAATTTCGTGAAGCTTGCATCTACATCTCAACCATTGAAAATCACGACCATTGGATTTTGCTGTTAGTGTTAGTGAAATGAAATATTTACAAATTATCTTATCCCTGAAGGAGGTTTTTTTTTCCCTTCTCCTAGATGTCTAATGTGAAAATAAAAGTTAGGATGATTTTTTTTATAGTTAATGGTAAATAGTATAATGTTCTAGCAGTCTTTAGCGAATAAAAAACCTAATAACATACATCTTGACCTAATATCAAAACCCCAAAAGCTTCATAAAGTTTATAAATCAGAATTTATCAACATATAATTGGTTAATCTAAAACCTTACAAATTTATGATTAATTCACACTTCTGAATTATCAGTAGGTGTATTAATTCCATCTCTTTGATATCAGTAAATTGTGTGTCAGTGTTGACGGTGACTAGACGTTATTATTCTGTTATTTTTGAAGATTAGATGTTATGGTGCGTCTAATTATCCGTAAACTTGGCATTTTTGTTGATTTATTCTTTGTATAAGGAGGTTTTTTTATTATTTTTTGTATAGGTTGCCCCATACAAGAAAATTGGAAGGGTTGAATTCATCAACGCGATACCAAAATCTCCTGCCGGGAAGATCCTTCGGAAGGAACTCATCGAGCATGCTGTCCATAATCCCATATATATATATATATATATATTGGGTGATTCTACCATACGATTTATATTGTACGATCAATTTAAATTTGATAATACTAGTTGTCAATATTATCATGCTATTAATTAGTGTAACACAATAAGTTTACATATAAAAACTGTAATTAGTGGAAATTGATTGTGTTTTTATTGATATAAGAAAGCATATTATACGATCTCATGACTGTCTATAACATAATTAGCTTCAAAATCGAATAAACTTTTATTTTTTTCGTTATATCTCCTATTAATTTTGTTTGGTTCATGTAAGTTGAAATTAACTTTAATCATACGATATGATTGATGATGATCAAGTACGGTCAAATCAAATTGTTCAAATTTTATTTAATGCTTTATTTAATAAATTTTCAAGTCTTGATCATAGTTGGTTATAGCTTTATACCCACAAAAACTAAAAATATAACTTAACATGCCTAAAAAAAAAAATTTGTATATCAAAGTTGACCTTCATTTCATTTGGGCTAACTTGAGTTAATCAGGTCACTTTCTTCCTTTATGAATACTTCCTTTATGTATATCAATAGTGTGGAACTTCATAGAAAATTCATAGCGATAGATTATTATGTCATCCCCCGGATGCCGAGCTGCGTCCGGGTGACGGTACGAAGACCTCCGCTGTATCAGGGTCGTCGCCCGGACGCAAGACGTAATAATTTTTCATCCATAGCGTAGCAGAATTTAGCCCAAATGATATCAATTTCCTTCAGCTTTCAGAGACTTTTATTTTATCTTGAATCAATTATAAGTAAACAATATCTTGGATCTACTAGACATCCATAAAAATTGTAAATTACATCAAATATATTATATTTAAGGTTTATATTTCTAAAGGAATTTTAATATAAAATCGGACGAAAGATTTTCTCAGATTTCCGGAGAAAAAAAAATAATAATAAAAAAATAAAAATATATATATATATATATATATATATATATATTGTCCTTAATCCTTCGAGCAACCGTCTTTCGGGAATCAGCCCCATTGGTATTTAGTTTTCCATCCAGTCTAGTTTACCAAGCTGGTAAAATGGCCATGGTCACCTTTGAAGTTGGCCGGCTGCTGCTCCTTTTTCTTGGGCTGCTATTCCTCGCCACGGCGGATCCTTCTGTCGACACTTCCGCTCAGGTATGCGTAGTTGGCGCTGGAATCGGGGGTTCCTCCTTCGCGTATTTCCTCAAACAATACAGCTGCAGCTCAACAAAATCTCCTTGCCCCACTGAAATCCATCTCTTCGAACGCCGAAGTATTGTCGGCGGGCGGACAGCCACCGTCACGATTGCTGGAGATATATTTGAGGCTGGCGCCTCGATCATCCACCCCAAGAACTTCCACGCAGTCCGCTTCGCGTCTCTTCTCGGCCTCCGATCGAAGTCCAAGTCCTCTGAGTTCAAACCAGATCGCAACGCGTCCGATTTCTCCACCTCCTCCTCTTGGTTCGGCATATGGGACGGTTCAAGCTTTCTATTCAAGACCATTCCTCCTCCACCAGCCTCCAGTTCGGCAATCTATCGCAAAATACATTCCTTCTTCAATGCCATACTCATTTTCAGCCGTTATGGTCTCTCCCTCCTTCGAATGAATCGCTTTGTAAATAAGATGCTCCAGAGCTTTTTGCTCTACTACAAGGGTTTGGATTCCCGCCCTGTTTTTGATTCTGTGGAGGAGATGCTTAAGTGGTCTGGATTGTACGGGATTACTCTCCGGACCCTGAAGGAAGAATTACTGGATGCTGGGATGTCTTCTCTCCTGATATCTGAGCTTGTGACGGTACGGATTTCATTATTTGCACATGAGCATCATTCTTATGCTGCATTTGTCATTGACCTTGATTAAGTTGTGTTTGATCCCTTCGATGATATTCCAACTATTCTTTCATTTCACCCATGAATTTTTCATTAGGAGGGACGGTGTGTGCATGCGAGAGGAATTTGACGGGAACTTAATCCCAAATAATTTGTATCTTTCCCGTGAAAATCACCTTTGTTAAATATAATTATTGCTATACCTATAATTTAATTAAATCAATTAAGATGCAGGATTTAGCGATATCCAATCCTATTTTCAAAAGAAAACCTACTGATTCTATAGCATGTAATACAATGAAACAAATAGTCTACTGATTCTATTGCATGTAATTCGAGGAAGCAAATAGTTTACATTTGATTAGCAATTTCAGATTTGTCTGGAATATGTATACAAATCTAGCTTTGTGACTCACGTGGGAGGTGTTTGGTAGCGCCTATTAACCAGATTTATCTCAGAATTTTGAAATCCAGCTAAATATATAAATGCGCAAGTTTCGTGAATTTAAGAAATTATAGGTGTTGGGTGCCAGAGAAGTTGCGATGCTAGAGTTTTATTAACGTCTTAACATTGTACGAAAATCCAACACATATACAGATAAAGGAAGAGCAGATAGACGAGACGCCATATACTTTTACGTAGAAAACCCAAAAGTAAAAATCCATCGGCACTAGCTCAGTGAAAATGGTTCAACTATTTATATGTATGTTATAGAAATTTGCCTGCTCTTGAACAACATAAAATAATACTATAAGAATGAGAAAAATATTGTCAAAGTGAAAGGGGCCTAGATGCAATGATAGAGGATCGATGATAGAGACTTTGTAATAGCGATATGACTTTATTAGTATAGATGGCGGTGGGCGCTAGGTAACAATGATCTAACATTATTAGTAGCGATAATCTGGTTATAGTGATTTGACAATTGTGATTTGACGAAGAAGGTCTAATGGTGGCAATGGAGTCAACTGGGCACCAATAGTCTGACAACAACTATAACAACAACCAAGCAATGGTGACGATGGCAACGACGTTAGCCACGTGACCTTTGCCAAATCCAACACACACGTAGATAAAAAAAGAGCAGATTGAGTTGCATTACCGCCTTAACATTGTAGGAAAATTCAGCACACGCACAAATAAAAAAAATACAGATAGAAGGGATACCATATGTTTTTATGTAGAAACCCCAAAAGGAAAAAACCAATGGGGCCTAGACCGGATAAAATGATTCCACTATTTATATGCATTTTATAGAAATTTGCTTGATTATGAACAACTGAAATTAATATTACAAGAATGAGAGAAAAATATTGAGAAAGTGACGGGAATCTGGATGCAACGATGATGTTGACCTCATTTTTTGGTCACATGGAGCTTTCAGAGGTATACAGATCTTCTGGAAGGGTCCCGGTACCTCCGAACCTTTAATAGCAATACTATGCCCCTTTTTGGCTTGGCCTGGGCCGTGAACATGCCCAGGCATGGTCACGCTTG